CATACGCCAGTCTGGCATCACCCTGCACCCCAAGGCTGCAGGGTGGCCACCTGCACCCTCGGCACACCAGCCCAGGGCATCCCCGCTCCACCTCCGTCACTGGGGAATTTTCCCCAGGGACATCGCGGGCTCTCCGGGTGCAGCCACCCGGAGCAATGATATGACCTGAGTCCTGCAGCGAGGTGGCCCCTGGGCTCCCTCACCAGCTCCACCTGGAGAAGCTTTTGGCTAGAACCAAATCCAGCCTCCTGAAACTCTGCCGGGTGGAAGGGGAGAGACAGAGCCAGCTCCAGGGCTGGCCTGGGGTGAGGGAAGAGAAGGCAGGGCCCACAGGCAGGGAGCTGGGGGCGAGCGTGGCAGCCACCCCGGGCTGATGCTGCGACCTGGGATGGCTGCTGCGACGCGGTGCTGCCCTGCAGACAGCGGTACCCAAGGATGCACATGCCACGCGTGTCCACAGCCACTGCAGGGGACGAAAGGGGGAAAGGCAAGAGGGGTGGAGGCGGGGTGTGAGCAGGGGGAGAGGGAGGCAAAAAGGGTCCCACGTGTCAAACACCGACGGGGGTCGAGTCTCTGTGCAAAGCCAAGTCCTGGGAAAGGCGCGCTGCTGGGCAGGGCTAGAAAACCACGGACTGCAGGAGGCGGAAACACATCATCAGGTCCAAGGGGATGGGGGGCTTCAGGAGGTTCCCGTCCAGCCGCAGGTACCGGAGCCGGGGCACGCTGTCCAGGTCGGAGGGGGAGAAGTCCTGGATGGACATCAGCGAGGTGGGGCAGATCTGCGTCCCGTTGATTTCTGCAGGGAGGGGAGGAAAAGCGGGATGCAGGTTAGAGGAATGGGAAGACAGAGAGGGATGCTAGAGACCCCCCTCCCTGCTTGCCTGCCTCTTGAACCCCAAAATGGGGTTGCTTTGTTACCAAGGGGGAGAATCCCCAGCCTCTCCAAGAAGACGGCGCAGCCCCAGCGAGAGGAAATCTTGCTTTTGTTCAGAAACGAAGTAGGTCACATTCAGCCAAAGCGCGGTGAGAGTTGCAGTGTCATTCGAGAGAGAAAAGGGATTATTTCAAATATGAAACCTGCCGAGCCAGCCCTAAGCCTTCAAAAAAACATCAGGGAAACATGCTCCAGCACCTTTACGCTGAAGATAACGTCAATAGCAGGCTCGTTGCTGGCTTCTGGATTTCCACGTGTTTCTCCCCACCCCAGGGCCTGCATTACAGAAAATAAACCTGGGGATTCTTATGTTGTTACCCAACTCCAGGGACTGAAACCTTATAAAAGCTGGGTAAAATAGGCAAAAAAAGAGCTGAAACATGATGTGCACGGCCACAGAGGCATCTCTCCATGGAAAGCCCTACCAGGACCTGGCTACTGGTGCGTGTGAAGCCAGCAGCAGTCACCACCTTTGCCCCAAGGTCCCCCTTGGCTCCAGTTTGGTGGTGTTTAAATAAAATGCAGATTAACCGGCATTTGAACCAGACGTTCATCACCGCGTCTTTATTCCCTGGGAACCGACTCCAGTGACCCCGTGAGAGGAGGGATGTGGCTTTGTGAGGATTTTGTCCCTCTCCCTAGCATCACATCCCATAACGCTGTTAGTGCTTGCCTGCAAAGAGCAGCTTTCTTGCTCGTCCCTTCCTGGCTCATGTTCAGTGCCCTGTTTGGGCAGGAGCCGGCGCGCTAAAGCTGCTCTGTGATTTTGCAGCCCCTCTTCGACAGCGGATCACTCTTACATATAAAGCCACACACCATCACGGCACAATAAACACCGCAGCGCGGAAGGGCTTGTGTCGCGCCACTTGTGGGGACCGGTGTCCTGCCCGGCGGCTGCTTCACAGGCGAGTAATGCCCTGGGTGGGTCCTGCAGCCCCCATACACCCCACCGCAGCCAGAAATAGAAGAGCCCAGCACGCGTTCCCTAGTGCACATGGAGGGTTTCTGGTAGAAGCGCCACATTCTTGCTTCCCCGCGGATAGCAAGGACAGCAGGTTGCTGGACCTCTACTAGCAGAAACAGCTGGGGTGACCAGGAATGGGTCTCTGTCTTCTTCTCGAGTGTGCTAGCTATGTTTACACATTTCACAGGCCAGCACCTCTCCCATGAAATTGCAGTGCTTTGCCTGGAACGGTGTGAAACTGCCCCGGTTGGTTTGCCAAGGCAACCTCCATCACAGCCTTGTTCTCCCTGTTCCTTCCTCTGCGAGGCTCAGCTCGAGAGCTAAGCTGGGTTATTTCTAACCATCTTGACTGCGTATTTGGCATCTGTTCTTAAAATATGTGCACAGACTCTCCTTTTTAAATATCCCTATTTCTGAGCCCTGCTGGGGAAGTAACTATTTAGATGGCAGGTGGCCCCAAAGAAGAGCTGCCCATGACAACGAACAAGAAAAGCCCTGCAGCACCAGGGGGAATTTAGCGCCGCTCCTCAGCTACCACCCTAATCCTCAGGCCATCCTTCCCCACATGCAAATCCATCCCCCTTAGGACCTTGTTCACCTACAAAGAGCCTCCAGCTCACCCCACCACTGCATCCCCCTTTGAAGAGTTCACATCCCACTGGGTGAAAAATGCCCTTTTTCAATGAAACACTTGCCATCCCCAAGCCCGTCCACTCCCCCACAGACCTCGCCGTGGCCTCCCGACCGGCCAGTGCAACTCACTTTCAATGGAGTTGTTATTCAGGTAGAGGTGCTCCAGCTTGGGGCTGATGAAAGGGACGTTGGTGAGCTTGTTGTGGGCCAGGTGCAACACGAGCAAGTTGGTGAGGTTGAAGGAGTTCTTGGGCAGCCCCTTGTCAGAGATCTGGTTGTAGTTGAGCCGGATGAATGCCAGGTTGGGGAACTCCTTGAAGTAGTCACTGGGGATGTCTTCAATGTTGTTCCTGTCCAGGAAAAGCTGGTGGATGGCACTGGGCACCCCAGGGGGCATTTTCCTCAGGATGTTGTGGGCGAGGTTGAGTTGCATGAGGTTCTTGAGTCCCTTGAAGGTGTTTTTGTTGAAGACCCCATCGCTTAGCTTGTTGTGGTGCAGGTCCAAGAGCACCAGGTTCTCCAGCTTGTTGAAGACCCCAGCAGGGATCTTGGAGATCTGGTTCCTGCTCAGACGCAGCTGCTCCAGGTTGGGCGGCAGGAAGGAAGGCACCTCCTTGAGCTGGTTCTTCTCCATGTAGAGGAAGATGAGGTTTTCCAGCTTCTCCAGGACCCGCCTGTCCACCTTCCGGATGCGATTGTTGTCTAGGTTGACCCATTTCAGCCCCGTGGCGTTCCTGAAGGACTCCTCTGGGAGGTCGTCGATGAAGTTGTTCTGGAGGTAGAGGTAGTGGATGCGGGACGGGATGATGGGGACCTTCCGCAGGTTGCGGCTGTCACAGTAGAGGGCAGAGGGGAAGTCTGGGGGGCAGTAGCATTCTCGGGGGCAGTCAGGGAAGATGGAGGGGGGACCCGGTGGCAGGGGTGGGGGCAGCTCTGGGGGCGGGAGGCGGGCGGGTGGGTTTCCGGGGAGGCTTCCTCCTCTGCCCGCTCACCTCCGAGATCAGCACAAGAACAAGCGGAAGAAGCAATCTGAAGGCCACCTTCATGGTCCAGATGTTTCCCTGAGGGAGGCAACAAGAAGAGGTGGGTTGGGAAGCACCCAATTTAGGTACCGCATCATCTCCCGTCTCCCCCATCACTGCAGTCTCTGACAGGCAGGAATTTACCCCACATCCCTGCCAGTAACCTGCTATTTTCTCTCCTTCCCCTTGGAAGTTATCTTTAAATCCAACCCCTCTCCAGAGCATGAGTCACTGAGATCCCCTCTCTCTGGCTCAGCTTTATGCCATCGCCGGGGGGAGGTGGGGGGTTTTTTAAATTTGGGTTTTTTTCCCCACACATCACCCCCAGCACTGCGTCACAGAGCCTGGACCCCCCCCGGGAGTCCCAACACCGCTGTGCCCTCTCCCCAAAGGATGGATTGCCCTTTCAGAGGCCTTGATGGATTAGGCTTAATTTTGCACTTGAGCCAAAAAAAATTCAATGATTCAGTAGCAAATTGGCTGAGCAACAGTATCAGGAGGCCAGCGGCAGTTAGCGGGGCAGCAAAGATAGATGGTCCTGTGCTTCAGGGATAAGGATTTAATGCAGGACAGCCCATTTTCAAGGCCATGTGATAAGGACATTTGCAAGATTACGCATGGGCGATACCAAAGGTGTTTGACAATACAGCTCCCTGTGCTTGCCCAAATAACCGATCCATCACCTCCAGTCCCACCACAGGGTGCTGGGCTGGGATCGTTACTGGGGGAGAGTCTCCGCAGAAGTGGGAGATCTGGAGGGATCAGGCAAGGTCTCTGCTTGCCCCTCGCCAGTGGGCCTCTCCCGGACACCAGCCCAACACCTTATACAAACCACCTCTCCCTCTTCTCTGGGTTGTTATCAAGCCCAAGAAGGCTGCCTGTCCCATCTCTGCCCTCCTTGCTGCCTGGAACCGCAGCAATCATCCCTTCAAGACTGTTGCTGGCAGCTCTCCAGCGGGTGCCTTGAAGGATGGAGGGATCCAGCTTGTTGCAGACGAGCTCCCCAGAAAGCCCCGGGTAGAAGGTGCTTTGGATGCTCTGACACTCCCCGGGGCCAGCTGGAGCAGGCCAGGCTGTGGGCTTCCTGGGCGGGCAGCAGATACCTCGGGGAGTTCGCCAGACTTTTCCCGGCGGCATTTGTCACCCCAGCAGGAACAGAGCCGAGCTGGATGCACGGCGAGGCAGATGGAGAAGCTCGGCAGAGGCAGGGTAGGAAAGAGAATCAAGTGAGATGAGACAGGGAGGAAGACGGGGAGGAAGATGAGAAGACTCAGAGGAAGATGGATCTCCTGGGGAAACGGAGCGTCTGCCGTGGGAGCCAGTGCTTCTGCGATGGGAGTGTGCGGCAGAAGCCTTCAGCGATGCTGATGCTGGAGAGAAATCAGGTTCTCCCGGCTCATTGCTCTCTCCCATGCAACACGACGAAGTTGAGCTTGCAGCTTGCTGGTGCACAGCGCTGCTGTCATGCCTGGGGGTCACTGGCAACGCAGGCACGGCCAGCCCCACTCAGCTCAGCGTGCCCGGTGGGAGCTGCAAACAGGCAGGGCTGAGCCGGGCACATCGCATTTGCCTTCAGGCAGCAGCAGGGAAATGTCCCCAGCCCTCACCAGACCAGCAAGCAGCACAGACAAACACTGCTGGGGTAGCCCCCTGCCACACCAACCCCCTTTTGCTTACAGCTTCCCAC